AGGTAGGTATTCTTATTTATTTAATAGTTAAATAATATGCAGTTCCTATGTAAACATTTAAATTTAGTGAAATATTGTAAATTTACGTATATGCTGTTAGGTAGAAACCAGTGATGGTAAAAATATTTATTACGGAGTTTCTGTAACTTGTGATTGTGTCACAGAAAGCCACGCATGTGAGCCAAATCTTTACTGTAATCTGAATATTTAAAAACAAAAACATAAAAAGAAAATATAACTGACAAAAATCAGTACCTTCAGTGGGAATGATTTCTGTTTGCAACAACGTCGATTAGTATTAACTTTCTGTATTTTACATACCGTGACTGTTGTCACTTTTGATTATGGATATTCACTTACAAGCACGTTTAAGCCAAAAACTATTCCATGGATTTCGATCAAATTCTGAATTGGTGGTCTACACTTCACGTTGTCGGAAGATTAATTTTTGTTCTTATTGTTCCAATACTTACCCAAAATCATATTGAGCTATAATACAAGTTTATTGACTTTATCTCATCTTACAAAATTTGATATATGATGTCAAATACGAACCTCGTTCATATCTAGGTTTGCAGTGTTAACTTAAAAAATTCTTCCGTATTTTGAATATGTAACAAAATGAAATATCTTCTAGTCCTATTTGTAGCTCTATTACCTGTGAAATACTGCATCTGGAAAATATACTTAACTATCTATTGAAGTAAATCTTGTAATGTTCTTTTGTGTAACTCCGTATGGAGTAGAGACAAACATATCACAGTAATATAATGTCTCTACATTCGTCTCTGACGATAGTGGCAGTTTGTTCCTTTGAAACGTTGGTATCTACTCTACACGACTTTACAACTCAGAACACCAACACAGTCTTCTTCATTGCTGTAAGAACCTCAAATATTTGTTTTACATTCAAGTCTGTATTATACACAAAACACATTTGTCATACCATCCAAGAAGTCGTACCGTGTTGCCTGAATACGATTAGGTTCTTTCAGTGAAATTGGAACTAAGATGGCAGAGAGGCAGTTATTGCGCGGTAAGCTAGCAATGACGTCAGAGAGCCCGTAAAAGCCACGACGTTCCACAAGAGCGCAGTGCAGTCATCCATATCTCTTACGAGGAGTAATACACCGCGAGCTGGTGCGAAGCTATTCTTTCCATTTTCCCTCCACTGACTCTCACACTTCTTGTGTTTTTGCATTCCTCATCATCTCCAGGGTTGTCCACAGGCTTCTTACTACCACCGAGTGGCATTAGTTTATCACTCGCAAGCTGGTTCTTACGAACAGTCTCGGCGGTAAAGATGTCAGTATTACACTTCTGGGCTGTAACACTATGTCGACTTGTCGGCCGATTAAACGTTTCAGAGAAATATACTGCTTCCCTGTTCAGGGTTGCCTTGAATATGGAAGCTTTATGTTCCTCCGAAACGTTTATGTCCATCTCCAAGTTCTCACGACGTTCCAATCAAGAAGACCAAAACCGAAATTAGCAATTAACATTTCGATTTCATAAGAAGAGGTCACTAAGTTACAAACGTTATTGATACATAATTTAGTTCAGACTTTTATGAACTATAAGGCTACAGTTTGTTGGCGATCAATCAGCTAAGCAATTTTCTGACACAATTATTCATTTCCTTTTGGTTTTCGCCGCTCGAGTTCAATGTACAACTTCGGCTCTCGGGGAAAATTATTAAACGTTTAGACTAACATTCCAGAAGGGCTATCCAGCTAGCCACCTACTGCCTGCCCTGTGCGAAGGCAAGTAAGTAACTGTACTTTTTGACGAAACATCCAATGCAGCTCATTGCCTAAAGCCAAAGTTGTAAATTCTGCAATATCGCCCAGCATCGCCACGAGGCTTTGCTGTTGATAACGTAGAGATAGCTCCGTAATAGCTCGTCCAAGGTAAAGTGATTCCAATAACTGAGGTTAGAAAGAAAAGAACGATTTTCATCATCTTTTCCTCTTTATATTTTTTTCGCATTTTGCCAATATCCAGGTTTTCCTATGAACCAGATTTATGGGACCTACTGTATAGGGTTTAGTGATTGTGTGATAATGAACTGGATGGATATGGTAGGGAGCGGTCGTAGTCTGATATAAGCTACTGTTCTGGAATTTTCTCGGAGGGATTGTGATAACAGCATAGAAATTTCAGTCGGGACATCAGGTTTCCAGTTCGAGATTTAAACCCAGAACATCTCGAATATGAAGCAAGACTGCTAACAGCTTGGTCGCGATGTTTAGTCCAACGGCTGTCTAACATATGTGACTCATAATGATCACAACAACTTTGACTTGACAGTGCAGGAAACTTAAAGGAGCTGGGTAAAGAACAAAAGCAATTTTAGTCACAAGTGAAACATCCTGTTCACAAGCTTTGTCTTCTAGGTTGCCACCCCTGCTCATCTGTCTTTATATACGTAAACATCTAATGCATGCTCCTTCACCCCCTCAGCTCCCTTCTTACCAACGTATTGGTTTTCTCGCTGATGACGTCGTAGAGTGCTTTCTCTCACACGCATTGACTTCCACATTGCGCTGTCCCGTCTTCAACTGTTTTACTTTTCGTATGCGACGCGGAAGTTACAGAGTGGATAAGTAAGTTTGAGATTGCCTGGCGTGGCACTCAGTCTTACCAACGTACTGATACATCTCTCCAATACCTTTCTAATAGTAGTGAATGTAGTTGTGCTTTTGTTACTCCATACAACCTATGATTAATCTAGAGTCATTTTTTAACGAAATTGTGTAGTTGAAGTAATATTTTATGAAGTTTTTCTTCGTAAGCTATTTGAATATACATCGATGTGGAATTTCCCTCTGCTTCTCTGTTAAGGGTTGTGGATCTGTAATTGCGTTACTCCTTACTATACTTTTTTTCATGTATTTGGCAGTTGTTAGGTACATATTTAGAATTCATTCTAAAACAGTGAATGCTTCTATCATTTCATAATATGCTTTGGACGGTGGATGGACCCAGCCAAAGGCAGAAAGCGTCTATATACATTAGATTTTAAACCTGTATTAGAACTTGTGCTGAAGCTGAGGTCGTATGAGTCTGTCCAGCTTCAGTGATCGTCTCAAAGAAACTGATAAGTAATTTAATAAATTTACTACAGAATATAAATAGGACAAGAATAAGTGTTCATGGCTGTTTCTGTGTTATTGTGCCGTGTAGTCTGGTAGAAGTTTACCGACGTTTCAGAAGTGCTTGATGACTTCATCGTAAGATTGCATGATACAATAACCCAGAATCCAGCCATCTGCATACTTGCTGTAGTGAAAATTTAAAATCTCACAGAACAATTGCCCCTTCTTCCAAGAAATGTATTCTACAATACCTTTTTCACGCAGGTCTCCAATCTTATCTGTAATTATCAGACGTCATATTTTGAAAATTAATTATAATTATATTATTTTAATATGACTGTTTTCTTATACAAATATCCCAGAAGATTTTTATTCATAATCGTGACTCTGCGGAACCGAAATATCACCAAGCACGTATGTTTGTGTGAGTTTATATATATATTAGTTTCGTGGTAGAAAGGTCTTGCGTATAAATTAATTTGTGTTGACGAACGCCATTTTTACGGAGTTCAAATATTTATCATAAATGTTCTTATGTTGATACATTTAAGAGAAACTAAAATGTACGTTCGTACACTTTAACCATAGCTGAGAACAGAGAACAGGGTCTGTAATTTCTTAAATCATAAAAAATAATATGCTCCAATTTGTGTTCAAGTCATATCGAGGCCCTCGGAAGCAAATATTTACAGGCATAGCCAAACGAATAAAAAGCCTCTATGGTCAGTAATTCGCAGTTGACTGATTTATAATTTTACTCGAAAAATATGAATGTGAGCCGCTAAATTCAACTAATTAAATTACGATGGGAAAAGTATTATAAATTAAATTGAGTCGTAGAACAACTCATGTATGACACAACACGAATTTTAGTCCTGTTAGTCAAGAGAACAGTTATTGGAGGCATCTCACTTGTAGCTTTAACACGTAACGAAATTTTCTTTTTCGATAATTATCATTATTATTAATGCTGGTGTGCGTAAAATGAATACAGCATAGTTACAGCAATAAATGTAACAAAGGACTCCTAAATAAAATTAAAATGTACAGAAATGGCAGTTAGAACACAATTTGGACCTTCCAAAATCCCTAGTATATTTTAAAAGCTTGTATTTAAGTTATGGTCACACCACACAAATTACCTGAAGTAATTATTTTTCATTTTTATAGTTTAAATCACATTTCTGAAATACATTTCATGTTATGTATAAAGTATACGATCTATATTAATAAATACAAAAACCTTTCATCGAAAAGTCATTCCGTAAACCACTGTCAAAAGGAAAATGTTTCGGGAGATTTTCACTGTAGTAATGTTACAATACAATGTTGTAATTCTTGATCATATTATCACGTTTCGACATTATATAACTTTTCAAATTAATATAGTGTAGGTAATAGAATATTGATAAAACAACATCTCATTTTAGTGCTTAGAACACGTGCAGTTTAATTTGGCAAAGACGGGCTCAAATCTCAGCCCAAAATGTGACCATTTTGACTGAGCCTTCTTGTGGTTATCCTCAGTCCCCAGGTAAATTCTGAGATAGTACCTTAAACTAGTGCACGACCATCTCCTTCCATATCCTCTCCACTTTATTATTTATTAGTTTATATAATCTGAGCTGCTGATAACGTTGTTAAATAAGCCACACAGAAGCCTTGAGGTACGTTTGGTACTGAAGTAGTTATTTTTATGGTAATTATCTTTTCCTTATCATTATTTACTCCACGTATCAAATAAAGTTTCATTTTAGAACGTCACTCATTGAAAAGGGCCTCTAGTGGAGGTAGATGATTCTGCTTTGCACGTATGTATATTAAAATTGTGTAATTTATCATTTATGTCGCACGCGTCTACTTTTACACAGTTTACTAAAATGTGTTTTTCTTCTGTTGCAGGAATATCTCATCCACTCAGTGGTAAGTATTATTTTGATTTTTGTTGTTTGTTCAAAATTGATGTTCAACTTCACCAGTAAATTAGCGTTAATTGCTATTGAAGAATTGATGAGGATGGGAAGATGGCTGTCTTCTGGGTTGTAGCGCCGTGTAGTCTGGTAGAAGTTTAACAACATTTCAGAGGCCATGCTTCCTCCATCATTAGGGCGATGATGAGGAAGAAATCTGACATCGCCTTTTTTATCTGATTATCCCGTCGTTTGCCTGGAGCGACTGCGAAACACATCGGAAATCTTATCCATGATATTCTGTTCAGGGCCGAATTTTGAACCAGATACGAAGCAAGGGTGTCACTCGATACCAAATCCAAGTGGTATGATAAGCATATTTTTTTTACTAATATGACTAACTGTTTCCATCCTTATATATTGGTTGTAAACATAAGTCTCGAATTAACGTACTTTTTCACTATAAATTCTCATAAATAACTTACCACATTCGAAAACCTTCAAGGAATTAAAACGTAATAATAAAGAAAAGATTGTTCATTAACTTTTTTAATCCTTAAAAGCACAAAGTTCATCTAAATATTTAAAAATGGAGTTCCTATCTGTTCAGTTACAGAGATGAAATACTTAATGTTCTTTGAGGAAATGTTTTAATTCTTAGAATCGTATAAAATCCATAAATATTTTCTGCTGATAAAATGCAGTGTTATTGAATGTTAAGACAGGTGGTACATAAAGCAACCACTACGTTTTAAAGGATTAAAGGAGTCCCCTTGTGTTCACATGTTAGGTAACTTAATGCCTTTGGCTAACTCAAAATCCTCTTTGTAACGTCTCTTGTATGTTCGTGTTACTCCTCGTTAGTTAGATTTGCAATTCCATGTTGTCTTCTACCGCAGGTCCACTCAGAGTACATGGCATCTCCATCTCTTCATGCATGTAATAAACACTTCATTTACATCTATTCTAATGCGTTAGGTACACAGATACCTGCGATGTCGTACATATTCTCCGTGTTCCGTACATATATGTAGCATTTTAAAATAAAAATACATAAAAAAATTGGTTGAATAAAAACGCCATGTAGTTCTGCAAATTGCTAATTTATAACGTATTGATAATTTAAATAATTATTTATAAACTTTTACATATTTAATTCTTTTTAAAATTACTTTAGATCAGCTTTTTATCCGTACAAATATTATGTATTGTGTAGATCTTAAAGGTATTACTTCATATCGATTCGTTTCTATAATGCCTCATTTTTCCTTTCACCCAACACATTCTATCGATTTTTAGAGTTTAACGATAGTCATGTGGAAAAATGGTAGTACACTGACATGATTTCACTGACGAAGCTTTCTCTACATCATTACACGTTGGCCAGGATCGAACATTGAAATAATCCACGACAGATTTACCCATTTTCTTTCCAGGTCATTCTGCTTTTCCATCTAATTCGACTCTGAATGTACTTAATTCTGTGTGCGTCATTTAACTTTGATTCTTTCAAGAGCCTGGGAATGATGAAGGTTAGTATTACAGCTGCTCGCTTGACCGACTTAGTACTACCTTTCAAAATAACATTTCTTCGTTGCGCGCGCAATGTGAGCAGTGTAAAGCGAATTTCGCCACTCTGTTTGTTTTAATTAGTGAGTACATGGTTTACCGTAACGGCCTGAGACACTCGGTACTCCGCAGTAGAGTCCTAGTAAACTAACGCGGGCATACAAGAATAGCGTTAGACACACACTGCCCCTTTTTTATATTATTTATTAACAAAATTACACACTGCAAATATACAGGATGAGTCAAAAGTATGTTTACTAACTTCTTGTGCGTGTTCCTGGATCAAAAATAATATTTCGGAAATGAAACATTTGCGATCCCATGTTCATAGGAAAATTTTGTCTTATTTTTAATCCTGGAACACGCACACGAAGTTTATAAAGATACTTCTGACTCACTCTGTATAGACACAAACAAGTAACACACCGATGAGACATCAAAAAGCACACCCCTGCCCCTTTAAAAACCAGGGAACCCCCCACCCCGAAGCAATTTTGGTCCGAAAATGGAGGAAATGTTACACGTACGACCACCGTTTAGAGAATGCCCCACTTGGGTCCCCGTGTAGCACAGGAAAGGAGGAGAAGACCGGGGCACACTCTGACGGCAAAAAAGCAAGATTAAGAACAGGATGACGCAAAGGAAATGTCACAAGTTTATGAAAATACGTAACATTTCTGTTTCATGTTATGAATGTACCAGTTTGAATGTCGGGTCATGATTTAGGCTATCGTTAGACATTTCGTGGCTTTCGTCTGTTCTACCGATACATAATTTACAACTGATGGTTTGTGATAATTCTGTCATTTTGAGAGCTATCATCATCACCACATTTTCCAAAGAATTTGGCCGTTAGCTAAACACGTTTCGCCATTGTTTGTCAAGTATTATCTCTTTAGCTCATTCTTGCCCCAGACACACTGTACTTCTTCATTATGTTCTTGAGTTACTCTGATTTGTATAGACAGGCCTAAAATAAATTTATTTGAGTCTCTAGTAACACTTTTTTGTTAATTCGTATTCCGTCTGTACCTCGTCCAAAATACCTTCGTTAATTTTTTATCTTTGTTATTAACGCAGTGCTATTTAAAGTTAAGAAACACAAACAGTCCTAATATCAGTAGGTCAGTATAAGAATCTACGGTAATACTCGCCCCATTGAAATTCAGATCGTGAATGAAGCTGAACTTTGAAGTCATAAAAACGAGTCTAGCAACTCACATTTAGAGAAAGGTATTCCAAAACTATTAAGCAGTTGGTAGCATTTTAATTACATGTAATTAAGGACTCGCTGTTCCCTAGAACTGATAAGTGCCAGTGTGAATATTTTGTCCTCATCTTAGTTGAGAAACGCTCTTTGTATTCTAACCAGTAATGATGATTATACTGCACCATGCAGTATAATACGTGAGTCCGTATTGAAAGTGCGTATTCAGCGTGTTATATTTCATGAGCACAACATGCAAAATGACAGTTATGAGCTTGACATTTTCAACGAGATTTACGTCAAAATTTCTTTAAAGTTACGTTATTGGCTTTTATCAGGAGAAATGAGTTATGTATAAAACAGGACGCGATTATTTTCAGATGCTGGAATATTGGTTTTGACATCAATTTTGATAAACGTCATAAATCATTAAATTTAAATAATATATTGGGTAAACTTCATAGGTCAGTAGGGGCTACATTCATAACTTCACACACGTGTATGTGAAGGAATTTATGAAACTAATTATCGAAGATTATTTACGTAAATAGGCAGTGCGACTGGATAATACTATGTTTATTAATTTATAATATTGCAAAAAGACACTGAAATCTTCCTTATTAGCTTTATATTTACAAACCACTGCATTTTCATAAAAAGTAATGACAAATAGTCTATACGTCATGAAGAAATGAAACGTCATTTTAATAGCACATCTGAAGGATGAATTAGACCACATTTATTCTTAACGCAAAAACAGCTGTGATTCTCAAAATTTATCACATTATGAATTTCGTTCTAAATATCAGAGTACGTGAAGCAGTACCACAAAATTCATTTCACTGGAACGAGCTTTTAAGCAACATTGACACATCACCTCTTGCATACGTATATTTTGATTCTATGTCACCGAAGGCTAAATACATTTTCTGAACACAATCGATTCGAGAATCTTGTTTTTACGACCTACTCGTCGTTAAGACCCAGCATGAGACAGTCCATGAGTCTTGTCACCTTGAAAATACATCTTATAAATTCTAGGTAACGGAAGTACTATATACTATATACACTAAGTGACGAAGCATCCTGAGACATTCTTCGATGCAGAGCAGTGAGAATCGATAATGGATGCGTAACCTTGAGATCTACTGGCTTTTTTACTTCTTCTCATTTCTTCCTAGGGTGATTTCATGGTGGATGATGAAATGGGCTGAACGTGTAGTACGCGAGGTAGAAATTTGTACGAAGATAAATCTCGTCAGAAAAGGCGATTTGAGGGATTTAAGCTTGGGAGAGAGGATAATATAAAAATGGTTTATCAAAGAAATAGAGTGACATCGTGGGCTGGATTCAGTCGTTTCAGAATAGGGTTAAAGGTGAAGACGGAATCGAACTGAGAGTTTCCATAAAAGCAGGGTCTTTCTGCACATTCGAGTATTTTTATATACAAATTTTTCCGGGATGATTGTGTACTGTTAGCAACCTGATTTCGTAAGAGTATGAGACATTCCAAGAAGTTTATTCTTCGCCAATTCATTTTGAAACGAATAGCAGTATTATCTCAGAATAAATGCAGTAGAAATTGAGGTACAACTTCTGGTATATTTTCCAATTAATTTCCAATTAACCAGGCGGTTTTGGAAACTTTGGATAAGAATCAGCCACCGTATTAAATATAACATTAACGTTAGTCTTGTACAATCACCCGTGTGAACTATGCTATTCATTTTCCATTTAATGTGGATGTGATAGAAATTTTGTGTTATAATAGAGAATGTCGTTTGTGACATGGAAATTATAAAACGGCACTCGTGCAGAGTTCAGGGGTCATTTTAGAAGAATTGCATGTAACCGTATTAAAATTCTTGGGCACTTGATACAAAACTGATCACTAATGTACTTACGAAATTTAAGCTCCTATAGTCTTGGAATACAAATAGAAGTACTCAGATGAATTTCAGTATCATTCGACATTCTTAGAACCCATCATAAAAGGAAAATAACACAATAAATGAGGGTAATATTAAAATGTATCTGAATATAAATGAACATGATTCTTGTAACTAAATCATAATATCGTTTTCTTTTGAACATTAATTAAAGTTAGGCTTCTATTAAATAAGTTTTAACTTCTTGAACAACTAATTAACTATCAGCTCAGCAAAAACTTTGCTAAATGAGTTTAGTTACGTGATTCAATGAAGATAAAGTAAATTCATGGACTAAATGAAATCTTATTGCAATTTTTATACTTGCATTAGTTCCTGCTGTTATGAATGATAACATTTTCTTTCAGAGAGTGGGGCAGATGACTTACACTGCAGGCGAATCATCGTAATGATGATCTTGTTAGCGCTTGTCTCCTTATCACCGGCAGTCTGGTAAAAACAGGTGAGTTTAACTGTACAATTTTTCAGTTACTGTACCAACATTTAAGGTCAAGGATAATCACGTTATCATTTTCTGAGATGATTGTCTTCTGGGTGGTTGCACCGTCTGATTTCATAGACATTAACCGACTTTTCAGGGGTGCTTGCTGCCTCCACCATAAGGGGAATCTGCCTGAAACGTAGGTAGACGGACCAACATCTCAGAAGACAGTCATTTTCATAGTCGACGTTGTGAGAACCCGAAGAATTATAAATAGGCGTTATATAACAGTTTTGTACGATTTATTATATCTAAATTTTCTTCGATCGTTAAGTTGAATCCTGTTTAATCTGCCAAACAGTTCGTTACTCTTTCTATGATGTAACTTTAATATGTAGACGATATTTTGTATTCTTTTGTTGCAAGCTTATATGTGTCACTTCCATGAGGTTCATCTGCTGAACTTTAAAATCCTCAATTATTTCCTTACTTACCTTTCTTCTTCCTTCAACCTGGAAAGGTTGGCTAAAGTATTCATTTTTCTTCTTACAGGGCAGCGGCTGTTGACGTGTCATTAGCAGTCATTCATGGCATCAGTCACCTAGTGAAGTTCTGAGGACTGAATTAAAGTTTTCATCCGAATTATTGTGTGAAATAATCAAGTAGTCTGAGTAGAATACACACTGGCGAAGACATTCTAAATGTCTGATTTGTTTTGGTTTTGGGCCTAAGAACGTTGCAGGTATGCAAAATTACCACAACAAAATTGTACATGGACTTGTTACCTACGTTTAGATGTTCTTCCTGAAAAATATGTAACTTTTCCTATGTCATGTGCTAATATTCAAGATGGCGATGTAGCATGATTAATCATGCGTACTGCGTGGCGAAAATAATTGTCATCCTTTTAACGACTATGGTAGAGATGAGCATTAGTAATTTAGTGTACACAGAGATTTATTCAATTCAGTTGAGTCGTATCACAAAAATATTTTCAATTTGAACGGAGGAAGTAAGTATTTTACTGATAATTCGATTGCATTGCTTTTCGTACGAATCCATTTTCTTTGATTATGACTTTAACCTGTTGTTTTCTATTTTTGCCCGGCTGATTGGATGCTACGCCTTGATTCGAGAGGCCACACTTTTTCAGTTCTTTGTTGTAGGTGAGAATGCGGTTATTTTAAATCGGTACATGACGTAATCCTTATTTGCCAATTTTTGCTTCGTTCTACATTGTTTGGATGTGGTGCTGAAAGTGAGAATGGTCAGCTGAAAAAGAAGTAACGAATAGAAGAATCTGTAAGTAAAACAACACACTAAATTAGACAAGCATATAAACAGAAACTTAAAATATAAGAATTGTGTGTTAACTTTTCCATTAGCATAGTTAATACTCTGCTGACGTATGTCATGAAGGAAAGCTGTTAACAGGGAATATGATGTTTGATGTCTGCACAGAATTATCGTCACAGCTGAGATATTTAATTTATCGCACTTATCCGCACTAACGCAACACAGATGCATTTCTGCTACTTGTGTCGTTATCATTTTTTTTACAGAGATCATCTCATACGATAATTACTAATCAGTATGTAACATTTTATTTAGATATTTACCTTCAATACTGTCGAATTTTCATATTTCGGGCAATGTACTTATGTCGCAGGGCAATGTCATTCAAACGTAAGTATTAATTTCCAAAACCTATCAACAGGTTGCACTAGCAGCAAATTCTTCACCTTTCAATTGCAGATTCTACAATCACGTTTAGTCTCTTCGTGTTGTCAATGTTACTATTTTAACGCCGTCTTTCTGTCGTGTTTTAATTTTATGTTATTAATTCTGTGTAGAATTCTAGCTTTCATGCGCTGAAGGAATATCATAGCAAATATTAAAACAATTTAAACGGTGTTACGAAGTATAGTATAAATGTGTTAGAACTTGCTCGTGGTTTTTCAGATCAATATTTCTTTGCTACTAAACTTATCCTTAAGAATAACTTGCTGATGTCATATGAACCATGCAACGATACTAAAGAGGGCAGAAAATATCCCAGATGACCATCTTCGGGGGAGGGGAGGGGGGGGGGTTGAGAAATGTTTTTGGACAACCGTCGTGCAAGGAAAGTCGCTCGATGGTCCCATTAAGGATTTCCTTTGCCCAGACTGTAGTGCGTATTATCTAAGAATCACTACACGTGGGCGACCTAGACTTGAAGACTTCGTCGTTTATGGGGTTTATCTCGCAGTGGATGACTGAACATATTAGAAACCTCAGCGGATGATAATCGACTGGGTACCCGGAGGTACCTCTGGGCAGTGGTGTCTAAACTTCTTTAGTGGCGCCATAAATGAAATGGGGGAATGAATATTTCAGACCATGTGGGTGATTTGTCCTAAGATAAGTCGTTGATGTAACATCTCGTAAGCTGCTTTAAAGGTGAAGGCGTTTCGGGTATTGAGGCTTAATTGCTGTCATTTCGGGAAAATCTGTTTTCACATTTGTATATTGTGCAAAGTGGTTCTATGTGGGGGTCCCACATACAGTAAAACCCCTCAAGTTGGACACCCCTATATCCTGGACACCCCTTTATATTGGACACTTTTAATTGGAACCAGTGAATATCCTATAATTTTACATGTCCACAATACCCTATATCTTGGACACCCCTTTTGTTGTAAGTTGGACTTGTTCATGCAATTAAGCTTCGATGCTTTTCAGGGAAACTTTTTCAGTTACATATTTTGTTATTTTGAATTTGTGACTGATGAATGCCTCCTCTCTGGAGGATTATCTTATGGACATTGAGCCTATCATTGGAATGCATTGCAAGTGTTTAACTATTCTTTTGCCGAACCCTTAACCGGACTACAATATTGCAGAAGACACAGCTTTAACTCCGTCAGTACTGAGCTTGCATTTGAGTTCTGTGTTAACAGAAATGAAATTTTTCTTTTTGCGATGGGGAAGCGAAAATTGGTGGAATCAACTTTATAAAATGTTATTGAGGCTGGGTTATAATGTGCAATGCATGGGAATGGGCTTCAAAAGATTATTGTTAATACTATTGTCATTAATTCTTAATTCAAGTAAACCTACAGTAGTTAGTGTATGTAAGTAAATAGATTATATTGTCATTAGACCACAATCTGAATTTTCTCTTTCTCTCTATCTTGGACACCCCTGTAAGTTGGACACATTTTCGTGGAACCCCAAGTGTCCAACTTAGGTTTACTGTATTATGACGGGTATGAATAAAAAAAGAATATTGGTTGAGGAAAACTCCAGACTTAATTTTAAGGAATATCTCAGACACGTTCCACAAAATCCCTTGGATGTTAAAGGAAGTTGTCAACTCGCCAACTTCAGTAGCTTTGATTCTTTTAATTTGCTGAGATAATGAGATGTCCTCAAGTATTTTTACTTAAACTCTTTCGTATTCACTGACTCAAATGTAACAAATATTCAGTTCTTTTAGTAAAATAATAATTGCCATCAAATTGAAGGAAGAATCTAAAAATTAAAACAGTTTTCCATAAAATCTAATCAATTTAACGTGATACTGCTTCTAATGTGATATGTTGTGGCAGAACAGGGAGGTCTGAGCTACACGTAGACACCTCGTCCATCGTGGCCATGGTTTGCGCTGCTACCTAACCCTGATCCTTATCCTTGCATCAAGAAGCCCCAGTAAGAGTTACAGTAAAAGAAAAGGTTAGTCTCTCTTGGGTTTGTGGTAAAACTGGGAATGGTCCAAGTTTTTGAAGTAAATCAACAGGCTTTGGAAAACATTCAGCTTTTCATCGATACTGTTTACGAGTTATATGTAGAAAAATTGCTAATAATATCCGATACTCTCAGAGAACTGTGTCTATTAATCTCCCCAATTTTGTCACACACTGTCAGAAACAGAAGATGTGCGTATTAAAATAAACACGAATTCCTTAAATTAACGGATTTTTGTTTAGGGATTCATGCTGAGGACTCCATTTCTTGCTGCATATTAAAACCACTTACAATTTCAGTAACAAATCATTATCATTCTATTTGTTGCAGCATTATTAGTTTGTAAAAATGCGTTTTGTTCCTAAACTCTTATAACTTTTTATGATACTCAATTATTTATTCTAATTTTTGGGGTCATTTATATCATTTTCTCTATTTTATTCGCTTAGATCGCTATCTATTTGCCTAACTTCTGCAAACTTTTTACTTCTAATGAGATAATACATTCATTCCCCGTCTAAAACAATGCACCATTTCTGTCCTGTTTTTACGTACTGTTGCATGAACCTGAATGCACATGAATTGGACCATTCTCTGTACGAGAATATCCGGGCAGTTCGGGGTCTATCGATTCTCGATAACGTAACGTATCTTGGTATATGCAGATGTATCCGAATTCTGTGCCTTGGGACCTTTGTTGATCAAGTAATTTCGTTATCGTCGTTCTGGGTAAGAATACGCATGGAATTTCTTTCACTTCAAATTAACATCATGATACCAATGAGATATGAGGTCTTTATGGCGATGAGGCGAATAATGATGTTCTTATGTCTTCGTGAGATTATCGGTCACACCCGGTTTATATCTCAGTTTCGTTAACGTAGATTTCTTGAGGCGGTAAAGACAAATACGAGGTGCGATCGGAAAGTTTAAAGACTGCGCCTATAAAAACCCGTACACTTATCTCAGGTATTAAATTCATCTATCACCCTCGAAGTAGTTCCCCTGGGAGTGAACACAACGATCCCAGCGCCGCTGCCAAGCCTGGAAGCATCCCTGGAAATCTTTCTTTGTCAGCCTGTCAAGCACCATC